GAGGAGGGCCGGGAGCGCTCCGGGCTCCGCGCTCGGGCTCCGCGCTCGGGCTCCGCCGCCAGCGCCGGGCTCGCCCCTTCCCCTCTCCGCCCGCGCCTCCCGCCTCTCTGCGCTCGCCGCCGCCTCTCCGCTTCCTTTATCCCCCCTCTCCCTCCGCCGGTGTCACGTGTCGCCGTCATACTCATTGGGAGTCTCTGCCTCGCCCGCCGCCACGTTTCAGGAGCAACGAGGACACTCGGTCGCTGTCCTCTGCGCGCCCTCCCCGCGGCCACCGAGCCGGCCCGAGGAGGAGCGCTCCGAGGCTGAGGTCGGATGGGGTCGCCGACCCGGAGCGCCCCGCTCCTAGGCCGGGGGAGGCGGCTGGTGACAGGCGGAGGAGGGGGCGCGGGGGCCGGGCGGAGATCGCCCCCTAGGGCCGCCTCGGGGAAGCCTGGCGCGGAGTGCGGGTGAGGGTCAGGGCTGGCGCCCCCGCCCCTCCTCTGAGTTTATTTTGGAAGTTCGGAGGGGAGAAGGGAATCCTGAAAGGTTCATCCTGCCCGGGGCGGAAAGGGCAGGGGCAACACTTTGGCGCCGTCTCGCTGGAGAGCTTCGGGGGGCCCTGCGACCCCCACCTCGGGCGAGGCCGCGTGGGCGCGGAGCGAGCCCGGAGCGCGGAGGCCGCGAGCGAGGACGGGTCTGCTGCCCGGCGACCGCGCTGTGGCTGCGCCGCCCGGCGGGGCGCGCCGCGCTGTGCCTCCCGCGGCTCCGCGCCAGTGCTGGACAGCTCCGCCTGCCACCTGCAGCCGGAGTGCCCGCGCGGTAGACAGGGCCTGGAAAGCAGTTCTTGTGCGCGCTCCACTCCTTAAGAGCTGGCCCGAAGGAGACCAGAGCAGGAGCCCTCATCCCTCGGCCTCGGGGCTTTTTGCGCCAAATATGCGATTGGTTTGCTTTTGGCTGCGAAAGCTGCTCAGAAAGCGAAGGGGAGGGAAAGCAGGCGTTTCAAATCCCAGCGACAGACTCGCCGGGGCTCCAGCCCCCCTCCCGCCGCGAGTTTTCACCGAAGCCTCTCGTTCTAAAGCTTCCCCTATTGCGGCCAGTCCTTCCAATTGCCTGGCCCCACAGTTCTTGCAAGAGCTCCAGCAAAGCTTTGAACGTTTGGGGAAGGGACGAGAAGAAGCGGGAGGGAGGGACAGTGTCCCCAAAGTAGGAGTCCCGGGCTGCGACGCCCTCCGGCAGGTGAGCTCTCTCCCGACCTTCCAGACAGGTGGAAGGAAAAGTTGAAGAGCTCAGCTTTTAGTTCTCTAGGGACCTGCAGTTACTTGTTTCTGTTTTCCAAAGGACTGGTTCAGGGGAAGGCTAATAGGTATGTGGGGGCTGTTTCTTTAAAAACAGAACTTACTGCACATCGCCTCAAATTTGCTTCTAATTCTAAATCTTTTCAATTGTGGATGAGGACCCAAACACAATGTTTCCAGTTTTTTTTTTTTTTTTTTTTTTTTTTTTTTTTTTTTTTTCAATTTGAAAGAATTCACTCTGATTCGACATCATACCTTTTTCCCAGATTTTAAATAGCCATTAAAGACATAAAAGGCGGGAGCACAGTCGCACACCTGGTCCTCTACACAGGATATTCCTTGTATTTCAGCCTGCTATGAAGTTTCCAACTGCATACCTCTCGTTTTAGCGAGGAAAATCCAGGCAACTATTAAAATTATTTTGATTGTGTTGCATCTACACTTCATTTACCCATTCAGCTGGTTCTACATGCAAAATAAATATAAACTACACTTTTAGTCATGAAGAATAGCCATCTACACAGCTAAAAAGTTCACTAGTAGTTTCTTTTTCCTAATTACAATAGACAATACCTTTGAAAATGACATTCTTCCAACTTTGGGGATACGCATATTCCTCCTGTTCAGTCTCAGTCAGCACGGTGGGTTGGAATGCCTACTTGTTTTCTTAGGTAACTCTGAAATTTCCAAACTGTTTAACTCATAGAATTTTAGAGCTATTGCGGAGGATATTACATAGCATATATCTTTCCCATACTTTCAATAAACTACTGTGTCGTCCCTGCCCCCCAAAAAACATAAATTACAATAATGGTACTAGGCCTCATGTTAAATTTAGAACTCCAATTTTTTTTAATAATTACTCCAACTCTTGTCTCAAAGTCAGAATTATTAAGTGCAAGGTGATGAGTATCATTTGTTTTTAAATTTTCAAGTAGACTGATGGTCTTCCTGTTTACCTGGAAAGTTTGTTGCCCGAAGGAACTCTTGAGCCAGTAGGGCATTTTTTTTTTTTCCGCGTGTGAACCATTGGAATCAAAGGCTCTTTACAGAACCTAGCCCCACGAAGGGGTCTTGAAGTTTTCTGTGTGAGTTACCCTGCCTTTGATCAAGATTTTCCCACTGATTTTGAAACTATAAACATATGGAGGCCTAAATATAAACAGCACGGAGTTCAGTTTGCTCTCAAGAGTTTCCTTTGCCATTCTGTTCAGGAGCAGGCTTCAAACACTTTCAAAATGAAGCGTGCCATGCTCTGTGTTTGAATTAACATTGCTAAAGCAGGCATAGCTCATTCTTCATTGTTAAAAAGCCTTAGAGCTCCAGTAGTCTGTGCTCTGATTTTAGGAAACGAAAGCTGCAAAATGTATGTCCACAAATCTAGTCCCACTGGATATTGTGTTTCAGTAGCACAGTATACCATTGGAAAAGGAAAAATGCAGAGACAGCCCTTTTTACCTGTAAGTACATTATGGGCACCTGAGGATACATTAGACTAACCAAGCACTAGGAAAAACTCCTTAAGAAAGGAGATAGCCCACTTTAGCCAAGTGACTATCTTACCTGCATATAAAGCATGCTATGTACAACCTCCTTTCACTTAGATTGCCTCACTTAATTTGATTTTCAGTCTTCCCAGGGAAGTAAAGAAAAATCACCTCTGTCAAAGTCAAATAAAAACTACAATCAGTTCTCATTCTCTAAATTCTTTGAACTCAGGGCTTCAAACTTTTCTAATTTCATTTCATCTATCTAAGTCCCCAGCTACCTCTGTCTATCTATGTCTGCAAAAGTGTTCCCTGGAACAGAGTTCTTTCCTAACATGAAAAGACTGAAGAAATCTGTCCCTTTGGTCAATCTTTATTTATGTGCAGCAATTCACAGGAATTGTACATGTAAAATTAAAGCGAATTTATAAAGAAATGTAGTATCTGGTAAATTCTTAACTAGGGCAAGTTTTTCTGGATCCCTAACCTAGAAAAGCACACACACACACACACACACACACACACATGCACACGCACACACACACCGTTCACCTGCAGTTACTTAAATGAGAATGAGATTTGTCTACCCTTGAACTTCACATATCCCTCTCTTTTAAAAGAATATAGACATACCTTTTCAATGAAACACTATGAGCAAATACAAACATATTCTTATATTCCTTATATTCTTGTATGATTTTGTAAGTAAAACTGCCTATTAAGGATAATATCTAAGTAAAAACCATCAGCTTTGTTCATATGCAAAAGGTCACATGGAATGAAGGAATCAGAGTCCACCAGAGAGACAAAGGACAACTCCTGGGCCATTAAGCTGCTGCTCATTAGAATGCATTGTCTTAGTGACTTCCTCATCCACACCAGGTTCAGCCACCTCATCACTGGGACAATATACCCAACACACAGCAGTTAAAGGAGAAAATGTTAATTTAAGCTCTCAGTTCATACAGGTTTCAGTCCCTAGGCATCTGGCACCAAGGCAGGGCAGCTTGGCAGAGGAGAAATACTTCATGGCATGGCAGAAAAGAAGCAGGAAGGCTTTCTTCCTCTTAACCTTTTTATTTCATCCAGGGCACAAGCTGATTGGTTGGTGCCATTCACATATAGGGTGGGTTCTATTTTCAGTAAGTCAATTAAGCCACATCTGGAACTATACTAATCCAATCAGTGGGCTAACCTCACTATTGCACACCTATAATCCATATCCACACACACTAAGTTCAGCCATCCCCAAGAAGTTCCAGTTATGGTCACATGAGGCTTTGGGGAAAATGTAGGTACAATCCATGAGAAGTATGATTTGTGTTTTCTTCTGAGGCAACTGTTGTTTGCTGAAGAGGAGTGACTTTTACCTGGGTCTCCACATGCCAATTAGGTAATAAAAAGCAGAACAAAGTTTGACTTTCATTTGGCATGTCTCCTTTATTACCTTAAAACTTTGGGTCAGATCTTTGCTTAGCTCTGCCTATAAACATTAGCCCTAAATCTACATAACATAGCTCTTCCGCCTTCAAAGCTGAGATCATGGAGGTAAAAGATTTACAGAGATGGCCAACTACCAACAAGTACTCAGAAATCTCAAGTCATCACCTAAAATTGTAGTCTCCTTAGAATACAGCAAACCCTCCACAAAACTGAGACTTTCCCAAGAAGAAATAATCATTTTCTGTAGATAAGACATCTTGTAACCCAGAACTGAGAAAAGGATCAGTTTCTTCCCAACCCCCAGAAAGCCTGTAAAACCTGGTCTCATTCTTTGTTAATAGTCCAATTT